ATCTGCTAAAAAAGTGTGTCACAAATGTTTTGTGCGATCAATACTGTTATAACTGAATGTCTGGCAGATAGAAAAGTTTAAGCAAATTTTGAAGAGCAACATGTCTGTCTGTCAGGGTTTATCTTCCTAGATATCGGCCAGGATTTGAGAGGGGTTACATTTGTTCAGTTACTCAGTTTAATCATCAACTCATTGGTCTGCCTCTGCTGAAATGAACAGGAATATATATAGATTTAAATCTTCAACCTAGAACCATCACACGGCAGAAACTGTAAGCAGGAAAAACCTATCCATTCTGAACAACCAAAGAGAGTGTAAGAGCAGAAAACATGAAAACTTTTTGCATCTTTTTATTTGTGGCCCTGCTTGCCATTTGGGCTAGAGCTGAGAAGGACTTCTCCTTTGATTCTGCTGCACCTCCTGAGACCAAATCAAGATTTGCCATGTTAGATGATGTACGAATCTTGGCCAATGGACTCCTCCAGCTTGGGCACGGTCTTAAAGACTTTGTTCATAAGACAAAGGGGCAAATGAATGATATCTTTCAAAAACTGAACATTTTTGATAAGTCCTTTTATGAGCTCTCACTGCAAACCAGTGAAATCAAGGAAGAAGAGGAGCAGCTCAGACAAACCACTGCCAGATTGCAAATCAACAACGAAGAGATAAAGAATCTCTCTCAGGAGATGAATTCAAAGATTGAATACCTCATACAAAACAAAATCCAGCTGCAAGAAAAAGTATGGGGTCTAGAAGATAAAGTCACTAAATTGGCCACTATCCAGCCTACAATGCAAGAGACAAATGAAATTTCTTCACTCAAAGTAAGTAGACTGGTGAAAGTGCCTGAGATAGAAAGCCAAAGTAAACTCTAATGCTATTTGCAGAATTCAGGCAATATAAGCTCATGCTTTTCCTGTACCTTCACTATTGCACTACTGTGTATGTTCAGAAATAAATCAGCCCAGTAATCTTCTAGGAGACAGGGTGTCTTATTTTGACATGCTGTTTATTTTACAGCAAAAATCCCTAGTGAAATCAGTACAAAAATGGTGAAACAGT